GGTATTATTTGTACAGCTTCATCACACCCAACCACAGGATGGGTAGTACCGTTTACGGTAGTGGAGGAAAAACCCTCCGGGCAGAGAAGGCGATTCATCGCGTGGCCAAGAGAAAAGAATGACAAGGATGATTACGAAGCTGATGTTCCTCTAGGACACATTTCCCGGTACCTGGATGCAGTTTACGACGAAACTGCAACTTTATTTGATTTAAAGGCATCATTTTTCCAGGTAGCTCTACCGGTTAACATACGCGCAAGTTTCCGTTGCCGCACGGAATCAGGGGAACTCGTTGAGTTCACTCGCCTTCCCATGGGTTATAAATGCAGTCCGGAGATATTAAATACCATCACAAGGGTTCTAGCAGGTGATCCGGAACTCGTATTGCCACAGTACGCTGCACCAGAAGGTTTACACATACATGTTTGGATTGATAACATCCGAATAAGTGGTCCACACGAAAAGGTGGAAGCTTGGGGAAAGCAAATCTTGCACAACATGCAACGTGGCGGTGCCACCATAGGGGACCGAAAGCTCAATACAAAGGAATATGATTTTATAGGAGTACATTTCAATCACAAAGATCACACGGTCTCTTTAAGTGACAAAACAATAAAGAGGTTGCGACAGGCACCTTCTCTCGATAATACGACGGTTGAAGAATTGGAGAGTACGGTTTCGCGTATGATGTACGCAGGAGGGGTAAGGGGTGAATCCCTTTTCCCTTATTATTTTTTCTTAAAGATAGTACGCCGACGGTTGTCACGATTAAATCGAGGTTTAATAAGGCCACAAGACAAGGCAAATTTATCCTCAACGGCAAAGGACATCGGACACAGTTGGCTCCAAACATTAATAACGAATGAGCCGGTTCATCCTCCTCAGCAGTTGCCTTCCACGGCAACACTCGTCACAGACGCCTCCATGTACGGATGGGGAGCGCTGTTATTCAAAGATTCAGGGGAGGTTTTGGCCGCGGGTGGTGCGTGGGAACGCACACCTCATATGATATCGCAAGCGGAGGCACGTGCCGTTCATCTCGCTTTACGAGGGTTTAAGACACATTTACATGGCCCCGTTGATAT